AATTAATGCACAGCCATACATAAACATGTAAAATGCATTTCGCAGACCTAGAATTCCCACTCAGCCACGAAGGAAATAAAAGACAATTCAACAAGGTTGATTCTCTCTCTCAAATTAGCTATCTTTAAAGACTGTACAGTCTTATTAATATGGCGTATAGCAGTGTGTTATTGAGGAAGGTGAAAAAAGATGATGTTAGATGAGAAGAAAGATGGCTGAATTACCCTTATTGTACATCACATCATCTCTTAAAAGCTACCCGGAAGTTCAGAGAATATCAGCTTTCAAAAGTTAATTCAAACCTTGGAAATAAAACTAAATTTTCAGATTTATCGTAGCTTGTTGATGCTTGCAGTATAACATTTTCATACACAGTAGTTTAGGTCTTTCCCTAGTTAATGTTCACATGAAATATTGTGTGGTGTTCAGTAGACCTTTCTGAGAAGTTTAAACTACATGAATATCTCTTAGATCCAAATGTTTATAAAGGGAATTTTAGGAAACTACAGCGGATATCAATGAAATATCTTTGATTCCACTTGTGGAGCATCTACCACGCCATCGAAATAAACCTAGGGCTAAAATAAATAGATCAGACTGAATCAACTTAATATTAACTGAATAAGCGTCTAACCCGTCTATGGATGCCCTAGATGTTTTAAGTTTTGTTTTAAAGGGTACGCATCCGTCCAGGATTGGACGCCGTTCTCCGCTCCTCGTTTGTGATAGCAAAACGAACATACTCAGAGTCTATAGTTAAGCCATACAAGTCAGATAGATTCTAAAGTATTTTTCCTAAATAAGTATAACTTGTTATTCTATTTAGATATACTACTCATCAGAGCACATTCTGAAATAACTAACTGCTTTTGAGTTGTGTTTTGTTATCAGCACTTAGAACTCACTTAGTGTACTGATTAAGTCGGTAATAGGCATATGGTGAGACTGGCGCTAGCCATTGGTAGACAGTATTGACTCATGTTTATGTCCCCTATATTGGTGGTGAGAAAATGATGAGAACAAAGGCTTTGCGTAGGCGGATACAGTTAGCATATAGATGATCTGACACAGCCACAAAGAGATGCAAGGTTAACTTTCTGTGAGAAACAACCAATCAAAAGACTGTATTTTCTACTAACAATAATGTACATTAAAATCTATAAATATGTGTTGATTTTCCTTAATAAACGATCTGTTGCCTGGCCCTTGTCTTCTGTTGTTACGGGCACTTATGGTTTAGTGTAGCACATCAGCAGCACAACCAGTACTTTACACACTGGATTAAGCTATACCGAATTTTCAACAGTGTGTTCGTAGGAGTTTGATCTATTTCAAGTTTTACCATAGATTGATATCAGTTAGAGAACCACTGAAAACCAGAGAGCACTGGACAGCTGTCTCGTCCTAGTTTCGGACTCATCGTCAGAACACACCCACCATAGGGGTTCGAACCCAGTACTTCTCGGTTACAAGACAAGCTCACAGACCATCCAGCCACTGGGATCCGACTCAATGGCTCATGAATTCTACTTCCTACTAATTCATGATTTTAGCGCGACCACCAGCCAATGTCATCGGCGAGTATTTGTCCTCACTCCGACTGATGGACTTACTGGTCACGACTTATTACTAGAACTCCAATCAACTTCGTCCTGCGGCCAGTCGCCAGCGATTTTCATGAGTTTGTTTGTAAGGATTTCATTTGTCTCAAGTTTGATCATGGATTGAGATCATTTAGAGAACCCACTGGGTGTGTGCTGCTGATGATTGCCAAACAAGGAAGAAATAGCTATCCAGTACTCATTGGTTTTCAATAGCTCTCTAATCGATATACTGAATTTAATTAACAGGTTATAACGAATCAAAAAATAAGCAAAATATAGTGCTTGTATGCATCTCTTGTCCACAATTTATCTACTTAAAAAACAAACATCTGAGTATATCAGAATGAACTTTAATCTCCAGTTAACGTTTATATAACATAAAAACAGATGGAAACCAATTATATCACCTTTCAAATTCAATTTTAACTCAAATATTTTAGGCGTGAATTTTCAAGTATAGTATAATTTTATACTGTCAAACACAAAGTTTGGTTCTATTCTTAATTGGTAGAAGTTAGAATTCAAGAGCCATTGAATTGGGTCCCAGTGGCTGAATGGTCACCGAGCTCACTAGCCCTGTAACCGGAAGGTCCTGGGTTCGAACCCTCGTGGTGGGTGCGTACTGCCGATGATTCCCAAACTAGGATGAAACAGCTGTCCAGTACTCCGTTGCTGGTTTTCAATGGTTCTCTAACTGATATCAATCCGTGATCAACTCTTAAAAAACTCTATTTTAATATATATTTTTCAGTTAACATGTTGATCAGGGGTTGTGTAATATGAAAACCTTGAAGCTGTTATGCCAGTTTCAATTTAGTCTTAGCCTTTCATCTCGCTACACCTAGTAGAATACGTTCGCACACGCACACACGACGTTTGCATATGTGACGTGTGTATGTCTGTTTGTGTGTGTGTTTGTGTGAAAATGTGGCAACCACATTTATTTTATTATTTTATTGCCAAAAAGATCAAAATATTGAGAATTAGATTAAGGCCCAAGGGACTTAACAGTTTCATTTGACAAAGTACATCAAAATCAAAAATTTTGATGGGCAATAAACTAGAATAATAAATGATAAAGTGAAAGAAAAACAAGCTGTTGACCAGAGGAAAGCAGAGATCAGAGTCACAGGGTGAATGGTAAAATCAAAAACTAACAAAAAAGAAAACAGCATTTTATATCTATATATGTCTATCATTTGGGTTAAGAAAATACAATTTTGTCATCCTATGCACTATTATTATTATTACTATTATTATGATAATTCATGATCCCAATTGTATTTGAAATGATGATTTAATAACTTTGGAAATTGTTACACATAGAAGAAGAAAAAATCACACTTTGTAGGTTCAGTAGCTGAACAAACATTCCCCCCCCCTAATTATTATTTTGAATTCTTGTATACCCTGTTAATAATGTACTTGTTCACCTGAAGAAACAAAAGACAGTTAAGAACAAAGTACTGTCCACTGAAGTTGCACTACACTATGGAGAAGAAAGTGTGTGTATCAGAATTCCGCTTAAGAATTTAAAACGTTTGAAGGATTTGCTTTATTGTACTTAATCATTTCTTCCAATTCTAAGGATTCATAACTTCACCATACATCAGATGTTTTCCCCTCGACGTTCAAAGTGGAACATACGCATTCAAAATTGAGCTTTAAAGTTTCAGTAGTGGTGTGTATTTTTTTATGGAGTGGGATGGGGTAGCTAGCCTAACTCCCAACCTTCCCTTTTTGCCAGACTTATTACCGGTTAAGCGAGGTTTCAGAGTGGTTCAGCCACTGGACCAGTGACGCATGGATGATGAAGCAAAACATAAGACCTCACTGAAGAACCGGGGAAGAGTAACCTTTACAACAAGATATTTGTTATTGCATTTAGTGGAAGAAGTAAACAGACAGATTTACGAAATATTAACTGAGAGGATAATCGAAGAAGTCGACAGTCTGTACAGTTCTCCGGTATTGTTAGTGAAGAAGCCCAACAGGAAGAGTATAGATTTTGTATTGACTTCTGACAGGGGAACAGTATAACAGTATTCAGACCATGAGATAAACCGACTGTAGCAGAAACCCTGGATCACCTACGATTTGCTAATCTGTTTACGATTCTAAACCTTCAATTGGATTACTGGCATATTCTCGTAAAATAGTGAGATGCACTGAAGAATTCGGACTACGTACCAGCAAGACTAACATCCAGCACCAACCACCATTAATGGAAGGGATTTGAAAGAGGTTACTTCATTCACTTATCTAGGGAGCATTGTCTCAACTACAGGCAGGTGGAACGGATGAGGATGTCAAATCGAGAATCGGGAAGGCGAGAAACACATCCATCAACCTGAAACCAATCTGGAAATCTTCGTCACTCAGCCTGCATCAACAACAAAGTGATTCGGATTTTCAATACAAACGTCAAGTCAGTCAGTTTTGCTATACGGATCAGAAACTTGGCCAGTGTGTCACAAAGAATATTTCCAACAGGATGCAGACCTTTATCAACAACTGTCTTCGCTCTATACTGAAGATCAGATGGCCGGAAAGAATCACCAACAAGAAACTATGGGAACAAACAAAACAAGAACCAATCGCCCAACAAATATGCAGGAGAAAGTGGAGATGGATTGGACACTTGCTGAGCTGAGGAGGCCGTTGGGTGACATCACGCGTCAGGCCAGTGCTCGAGTGGAACGTGAAAGGGAAGCGGCGAGTGGACGTGCAAGGGTGACATGGAGGAGATCGTGTGAAGAGGAGTTGAAACATTATGGATTAACATGGATGCAAGTGAAAAGTACAGCAGAAGACAGAAACAAGTGGAGACGTGTAGTTGAAGCCCTATGTTCCACTAGGAACCCAAGGGAACAATAATAATAATAATAAATCAGCAAGACTGGTTTAGTCAAATTTCTTTATCAGGTATCGTGATCGTTTTTGAAACCGTAAAACATTTGACTGCCTTCTCGAAATAGCAATTCTTTGTCAAGAACAAAAAACGAGGCAGATATTTTTTGACTAGTAATAAATACTTCATGAATATCGACAAATTCCATCAGTCATTAACCTTATAATTCCTGAATATACGTGCAAAACAGTCTAGACCATCCACTGAGTTTCTTCACGAAAAATTCAGCTAAGAATATAACAACGGTTCTCCATTTATGCATCTTTCACACTGTTAAATCAGCTGACATCACCATTTGCTAAGCACTGGGGTCGATTTGTTTAATGTACCGAGGTGTATAGTTATTACCATTTCTGAAGTACAATCGTTATTTCAAAATAAACCAATAGGACAAAATTCAACATTTTCTTGAGAAAATGTCACACATACCCTAACCCAAAAATTCTATTTAATTCCTGATTAGAAAAAAAAACAAACAGTGAAACTTACTCATCATCAATATACTCAGCATATTCCAAATTAGAGATCGATAAATTCAATCGTTTATTTGAGATATCTTTATTAGAAGATTTAATCCAAGAAGCCTTATCAGGCAGATTATTTTGTTGACATTTATCAGAGACGCTGGCTGGTATAGTTGTCTTTATGTTATTAGCCTGACTGTCATCAACTATCTGTACTGGAATATATCGTAATGAAGATGGTAGTGAAACGGAACTTTCACTTTGATTCGCTGACATTTCAGATGGAAAAGTATGAAAATTAGATGTAGAAGCTGTTAGTCTGGATTTGTGTAAATTCTCTTCATTTGATTCATTTTTATGTTCCAATGCTGGTTTAGGTTGTTCAGGTGGACGTATGCTTATGATTGTTTCATTGCGTATAATCCTTTCTCGACTCCAACACCGAATAACTTCTTTTCTTCGCTTCACTCTAGATGGCGAAGAACAACCCTGTTTTGCAGGATCTTTAAACTGAATAATTGTATTTTTAAGATGTTGATGTACACTGTAAATTGATTGAACTTCTTCCCGTGATACTGGGCTTGGAAGTGATCTATCCCTCATTTTACGTATATTTTCTATGCCTAACTTTCTACTGATATGATTACCATCTCCATGAAGGTCAGAAGAAGGTGAACGGCAGTCAGCACTCCGTGAATCTAAAGCATCTTTCATACAACTTTCACTTGCAAGAGAATTTTTGTCAGAATCACTGAACAAACTAGGTGCAGTTGATGTACGAACTGCCTTTCGACCTTGAGGAGGACGCTGTGATGACTGGAACATTGGATGCTGTTGTTGTTGTGCTTGTTTTTCGAAAAGGAATTTTTTCTGTATCACTTTTTAACTATAAATTCAATTAATTTTATTTGTATAAGCATTATCGTATTATTCCTCGAATAGATAGACAACAGATGATCAAGTTTATTTGGGAAGAACTAAGCTTGAAATTATTCCCAAAGGAAGAAATGAAGCACAACAAAGTCTACTTCCGATTAAATAATAGAATTAGAATTTATTTGTCAAATTTTCATTTAAAATTCATTCTTGTCGCCTGTACTTTAAATATTTATATATATATAAAAGGATAAGTGGGAAATTTAAACAACAGCAAATCAAATGCTGAACATATTATTGGCCATTTAGCAGTTGACCAATCAGATTTTAATGTTTCGTTCGCTGAGCTGGATATTTTCAGTAGGATGGTTGATATTTTCCTTTTAGCAAAAACATGATAAATAATAATAATAATAACAAGATAATTCAACATTCTACAGAATAGTCTGCTAAGAAGATTTATTACTGACGAGTTTACAAATTTTATGCAAGGTTGTCATTTAATGCGATAACGACGCCATCCTGCTTTTAGTTAATTTGCTGCTTAAAAAAAATAATTATCCTTAAAATATGCTAATCTTCTATGTACCACCATGGACTAATTTTTACACATATGTACACCTCAGTGTATCTTTTTCTTTAAAAGTCGATTATTTCCTACATGTTTGCATGACTCCATGTGAATATTATGTGAACCAGTGAAATAGTAATTAACATAGGCACTGAAATTTAGCCAACAACAGGTGTCAGTGTTTACTGTTTGTACATTTCTCAGATTTTCAAGTATTGATAGTTTAGGGGTGTTGTTTGATTTGTTGGAGGATTTCATCATGAGCTGACATTGGAAAACCTGCAGGTAGTACTGGACAGTTAACTGTTTCGTCCTAGCTTAGGACTCCTCAGCAGTATGCACCCACCGCCAGGGTTCGAACCTAGGACCTTCTGGTTCCATGGCAAGCTAGCTCGTAGACCATTCAGCCGTTGGAATCCGAACAATGATCCATGATTCACAAAGAAAATTAATGATCCTGTATTTCTTCGTGAAGTGTTTGTAACTTTGTGTATCACACAGAGGAATAGTATTTCGCATTTTACTAATAACATTTAGAATACAGTCTCTGATTCATCAAGACAAATAAACTATTCTCCTATTCTATTTTACTCTACCTCCGTGCCCATATTTTATGTTTATATCAATTTTCTGATAACTAGATTAGTTAACATTCAAGCTTTTCGTTGGAGAAAGCTAAGTATAATTGTATCTAATCCAACAGTAGATAAAGAGAAGTTAATAAAAATTCTAGAGTTTATTCACCATAACCAAAACAGATTAGATCTATGTTCTATACATTTTTTAGAAATTAATCGAAAAGGCATACATATAACTCTATGTTAACCCCTGACTCATCAGATATTTCAATATGTTAGATTACTTCAAAGTTAGAATTACTAGAACTAACTACCTAAACATCATTTTCTCTAAACCTACTCACTGTACCATATACTTCACCTTTAAAGTTTAAACCAAAAAACACTACTTAAATATCAAAAAGTAGCCTGGCTTACGATGAGTAAATATAATTAATAAGTGTTGCTTTGCAGGGATTTGACTGGTTACAGGTTTGGTGACGAGTTGACACCAGTTAGAGAATCATTGGAAAACCTGGGAGTACTGAGCAGATGTTTTGTCCTCTTTTGGGACTCTCTATCAGTACGCATCCACTGGGATTCAGGTCCCGGTGGCTGAATGGTCGACTATCTCACCTTGTAATCGGAAGGTCCTAGGTTCGAACCCTGGTGGTTGAGTGCTACTGAAGAGTCCCAAACTAGGACGAAACAGCTGTTCAGTACTTTTAAGTTTTCGAATGGTTCTCTAACTGATTTGAACTCATGATTATAGATGAAATAAATATAACACTAATGAAATGGTCTAATGATATTATATTTAGTTAATATCGAGATCCGACTAATTAGTCATCGAATTCATCAAGTATGTGTATGTTGAATTGGTTGCATTCTTTAAGAAAGACGTTGTTTTACCCCGAGCTTTTTGGTCTCATTCTAGTCATTATTCGCATTAGGGGAGATTTTCAGTAAAAAGTGAATTAATAATAGTACACATTCAACAAGTAATTTATCCTACTATTCTAACTGTATGGCGTTATGTTTCATAGGGATAAGCTTTAATTTTGAAATAATGCAGATTAAATAATGACATTCTATCGAATTGTGTTGTCGAATAACCTCTGTCAGTGTATTGTATTACTCTCGTTGATGAGTACTGAACCTAATGACTAATTTGGTCGAACTCATATTTCGTATCTGTGTGTTCCATCAAAAACACCTCAGAAGGAAATTACTTGAAAAGTATCTGTCGCTCTGTTTTACAGATTTTGTCAACAACAAATACTAAGACTGACTGTCCTAAGTGAATTCAATTACATTCTTTTTCCCCGTTGAAACTTCTTTTAAGGAAATACTCCTGACTTGTCTTCCATGCATTTCTTGTCCGTGTCTTCTGTAACGAAACTTCATTTTTTTATTCCTTCACGTTCCCAGTGGAACATAGGGCTTCAAGCTACAGGATTGAAGTTTCTGTAACATTTTGTATTTTTACAGGATGGAGTTGCTAGCCTCATGCCCAACCTTTCCTCTTTACCAGTCTTATTACTGGCTTAGCCTGGTAAAGGTGCGCGTCGGCCGGGAACCGAACTCTGTGGCACATGTGTGGTTGGAGATCATTCTACCGCTGCGCCAGCGATGCACACTATGGAGTTGGTATATTGGATTTCTACTTTACACTGATGAGAAATCTCAGTGTAACGAATTCAGCGTTATTTACCAGCTTTATTTCTGGCTCAGCGAGGTTAAGGAGTGCGTCGGCCGGGGGTCGAACCCCGGACCATGTGCATGGTCGGCGAGCGTCCTAACCGCTATGCCACCGACGCACTTCATAGCCTCGTTGAAATGATCACACAAGATACAGTTGATAAGGTTATTCCCTCAGTGTATGTTAAATGTTCAGTCTTTCACAGTTGAAGAAATTCTTGTCGTGGTTATGAAATTTGATTTTTATCTGTACCTTTTGAATTAAATCATTGTCATATTTATACTTATGCATTATCCATCGCTTGATTTATAATGCTGGTACAGGTGAACACTTGTCTTATTAATTATGACAGTTTAATAGTTAACCGTGGTAAAACTTCCTTCATGATGTAAATTTGATTTTGAAAGATAACTGACATGTGTATTATAAAACTCGAGAACACTCCCACTATAGTAAGTAAAGGTCAGTGAGAACCATTAACAGTTTGATACTGGACCATCTGGTGCAAACCGACCAAAAGCCAGCCAGCGTGGAAGAATCCTTCTCTATCATCTACCGGGTGCCTAATAAATTGCCAAAATCATCGAAGCACCGCATGCTCCAAACAGCAGAGGCTATTGCAATTCACCTCAAACAACCAGTGCTCTGTGTGCAAAAGAAGCAAGTTCAGCCCCTACTATTGCCCTGGCCTTAGAGAACTATAATTTATATATATATTAATTTTTCTGACATTCAGTTTATTGTTATGTTGATGCTATTGAGCTGTAATCTATCAATATTATTGATTCTATGTCATTTAAATAACATTAACGTTGTTCATAACACTAATCCATTCATTCACTATTATAAAACTGTTATTCAATTTAGTTCCAAACAGCAGATATATATATCATAAATTTCGTGCTGGGCACTAACCAGAATATCTGTAATTGATTCAGTAAGTTAAAAGGCTGAATTCGATTAATAATTGATACAGAGGTGGAAATGTATAAATTGGATCTAAAAAGTGAACGCAATTAACAATTATGAAATGGAATAAATAGAGTCCCATTTTTTTTGTACATTAGGATGATTTTTTAATCGCGTGCAGAGAAAGTTATTATAAATTACTGATTACATACACCTACGTTTATCTTATTTCATATATTATAATTAATTAAGATAAGCTTAGATTATACTAAAAGCAATGATTAGAATGCATATCCTTACTAGCTAAGTGAATCCGATTTTTATAGGGAGTTAATTTTTTTGAAATCAATCACTGTATGTAGATAAACGTCTGCAGCCTTTTGGGAACTTTTTTCGTAACCCGTCAGTTCTCTGACCAATAAAGAAGAACTGACTTAACCATTAATGCTGAGTGCAGGGGATTTTTTCCAAACTGACTTCAGAGTGATGAAGGTTTATCTTGCCTCTCCCATTCGTGAAGGATAAGCTACCACTGCTGGCCTCATCAATGTGTATTTACCAATTCACCTGCTCGTGTGGAGCCAGTTATGTTGGCCGTACCCAGCGTTCGCTATCCAAACGTATCACCGAACACTTACCAACATGGTTTTACAAAGGAGAAAAACGATGCCCCAGCAGCTCTATCTTAGAACATCTGATAGATTCCGGACACCAAACAAACTCCAAAGTCGTCTACAGAATACGAAGTAGTCTTCCTAAAAGTGTACGAATCAGACTTCTTCAAACTTCAGAAGTAATGGCAATTCACTTGCTAAGTCCTGAACTCTGCATACAGAAGAAGTTAGTTCAATCACTACATTTGCAATGGACGTATTCTGTCTTATTACCCGACAGGTAAATTCTACCTAATCCTTTTCCCTTCTGTCTCTTCATTAGTATTATTTTGTCTTCTCAATTGTAATATTTTAAATTTAAACTTTCCTGTTTTCTACCCCAACCCGATTTAATTTCTACACCTCACTACCACTGTTACTGACTTGACCAACGCTCAATTTCTAGTCATTTATGTTACGTCATCCAACTTATTTGCTCAACTTTAGTCCTAATTTAAATGGCATTATTCTCTACCCCACCTCTACTTAGTCTCTACCTGTAATTACCTCTGTTGCTATGAAAATTTAGTCAATTATAACGTCATCTAACTTACTAA